ATTAGACTTAAGCGTGTTGGTTATATGAGGCTGGTTATTCTACAGTGGCGGGGGGTAAGATGCAGCAGCGATAGGAGAAACTGCTCTTGATAAATTTTTCTTCTTTCTGCCAAAGGTACAGAAGGATTTGGGCTTTGCAAACCTAGGAAGCTCAGTATTTTAATGCATTTATGAAGGTAAGCATCATGAAAGCTCTGCAGAGTTTGGCTAACAGTAGCATTTAGGGAAGAATGAAAAACGCTCGTGCTGCATTAGCTGAAGCCTGGAATGTCTCCACTCTGCTAGCCTTAAAACACCCAATAAAACCAAAGCCCTTGACTTTATTGCAACGTTGCTTCACTAATGGGAATCTTGTGCAGCAGAGATAAAGCTGGGATTGCACTGCTTGCTGTTTTATCGGTCCTACAACGGAATCGTTGTTTCTTCAAGGGAACATTGAAAAGTCAACACCTGATAATGAGTTTGTTCTAATTCATTAAGGAATATATCTCTCGACTTAAAAACCTTCACCTTGTGTTAAATTGTTTTGCATCAAAGAATGGGGATAGCTAATGGTGCGAAAGCTTGCATCTCAGTGTAGCATCAGCCCAAATGACACGGTTCCGTGGCTCTTACCTCTTCAACTCCATTTCATAGATACAAGCCTGATGCCGTTCTCTGCTGCGTAGATGTGCTAAATCCAGGGAGACTTTGAATGCGTGTTTTCTACTCATTCATCTATATGTCCTGGTCTTTTTAAACAAACAACAGACCCTCAATGGCCTGGACCAATCAAAGTGGGGGCATTTGGCTAAGGTCCTCCAGATCAAAAGGGGCCTCATATTTAGACACTTGTTAATTTTTTTTTGCATTTGGTAAGTTCCACAATTTGTTTTTATGTGCAGCGGATCAAATTCTGACACATTCCCTCAGCTCATAGGTGCAAATTTAAGTAAATAAGAGATGTGATTTAGTAAAAGCCTTTTTTTTTGTTAACTGAAATAGATTTTTGTCATATGATTAGCATCCACTGTGACATTGCACAAAAGTGATATTTGTCTTCAGTAATTAGTGCATTGCACAGAAGATGGCTAGAAACAGTTGTGCTGTTTAGTTAGATTGTAAATCCTGTCTTTTCATTCTTTGTAATATTCTTTATAATACTACACACACACACACACACACACACACACACACACATGGCTAATAATAATAATGTATTTCAACCCAACAGAAATACCTTCACTTAAAAGCAACAATTGCAAGTCCTTCCCCCTTTTTTGTTGTTGTATCTGTGTTGTAGTTTGGGCTGTGACTAGGTCCCAGTGTACTCATGTTAAGGACTCCTCAGGGCCCTCTGCCTAGATTTATTGACCCCCAAATCTTTGGGATCTGGAGTCTGAAGAGGAACTTGCACTTCCAGCACAACAAGGCAGTGTGCAGCCTGCGGGTTCTGTGTCTAAGTACTCTTGCAGCCCACTTGGTATGAAAAGTTGGGACTGTCCTGCTATAGGCAATGCAAGACGGCAGCTCCCCGGTGTTCAAGAGCTGTTGAGGCAAGAGAACACATTCTGAACAGTAGAATGAGTTGTCAGGCTTTCAGCCAGGAGGAACAGCTCAGAAGTCTTGGCTACAGTAGGTCCTTCAAAGCAACAGGTTCTTCAAAGTGTCCCAGTGGAGAGGACACAATAAGAAGTCACTCAATGGCAGCACACTGTGACACTTCAAGGTCTGCTACCCATTCAAATTCATTGATTGGTGGTAGTTCAAGTCCTCCAACAGTCTCAGTTTAGCTTCCCTAGAAGTTCCTACCACAGATCCTGAGGGTCTAACCTTACCTCTTGGGAACTTGTACTGTGGACCTGCTGTCTGGAATCTGGTATGGTTGTACCTCAGCTCCTGAACGCCTGGGGAGTCAAACATTCCAGCTCCTGAACAACTGAAAATCGGAAGTGAGTGTTCCGGTTTTTGAATGTTCTTTTTGAAGCTGAATGTCCAACAGGGCTTCCGAGGCTTCCAATTGGCTGCAGGAGCTTCCTGCAGCCAATCAAAAGCTGAACTATGGAAGCTGAACATTTCAGAAGTTGAACAGACTTCCGGAACAGATTCTGTTCGACATCCGAGGTACGACTGTGCTTGACGTTGACTAACACCAGCTGAGGATCCATGTCCACAAGGTCCCCACAGCGTGAGAGGTTTGATTCAAAATTCCATGTTACTACAGAGTGCTGACAGCTGCTTGAGGTGGTCAAATGTCTTGGTCGGACCCTGCGTAAAAGACCAGAGAGAAATCTCTCCTTGAATATAGATAGGCATGTGTCTATTAAAGAGAGAAAGGTAAGTGTGGACCAGGGTTTCTTGAAACATAGCAGAGGATAATTAGGCACAAGCCTGACAGCATGCACAACTATGTGGGATCTGAGAGTTTTACCCTGGGCAATATGAAGATGGATTCTGGGGTGGTTGCATGCTATTTCATCAGTGCCTCCAAAACATTATTGCTTACAAACATGAACACATTGTGGAATATTTCTGTTGTGAGAACAAAAAAAAGGAGGGGTGCAGGAAACTTGAATTTTTTCTCTCTCTTTCATTTTTCCTTTCCTTTCCTTTGTTTTTTATTTAGATTAGCTTGCTTTAAATTTCATTGCATGATGAAAAGTTTCAATTAAAAATTATGAAAAATGAAATCTGCAAGCTAAGCACCTGAAGTTGTTGGCAGCAAATTTGTTTTATTATAAAAGAGGTAATTTTTGATGGCTTGCATTAATACTTGTGAGAAGGCAAATTGATGATGGGTTATCTGCCCCCTTCTTGGGGAAGGTGGGGGAGAGACCTCTGGTGGGGCAGTAGCAGGCATTCTTGAATAATAGGGACTGTTTAGATCCAATGTCATCTGGATTCAGGCCTGGCCATGGAGCTGAGTCAGCCTTGGTCGCCCTCTTGGGTAGAAACATCTTTTTGTCAGATGCACCTGTATGTCAGTGATGGCTGGACCAGGAGAGCTCAATCAAAGTAGTTCAGGCCTCAAGACTGGACTACTGTGATGTACTCTCTGTGGGGCTCCCCTTGCGCTTAACTTGGAAGTGGCAGTTAGTGTAGAATAAAAGGTAAAGGTAAAGGACCCCTGACAGTTAAGTCCAGTCGCAGATAACTGTGGAGTTGCGGCGCTCATCTTGCTTTACAGGCCGAGGGAGCCGGCGTTTGTCTGCAGACACTTTTTCCAGGTCATGTGGACAGCATGACTAAGCCACTTCTGGCGCAACCAGAGCAGTGCATGGAAACGCCGTTTACCTTACCGCAGGAGCGGTACCTATTTATCTACTTGCACTTTTGGCGTGCTGTCGAACTGCTAGGTTGGCAGGAGCTGGGACCGAGCAATGGGAGCTCACCCCGTCGCGGGGATCCGAACCGCCAACCTCCTGATTGGCAAGCCCAAGAGGCTCAGTGGTTTAAACCACATCACCACCCACATCCCTCTTTAGTGTAGAATGTTGCTGCACAATTGTTGAGAGAACTGAGACCATGGGGGCATATTGCACCTTTGCTCAAAGATACGCACTGGTTGTTGATTCATCACGGGGCCAAGTTCAACTGCTTCAAATGTTTTTTGGAAATGTAAGGAGAAGGAAGGCACATTCTACCACATGTGGTGGATGTGCAAGATAACAAAAGCATTATGGGAAATGAATTATAATGAGTTGAAAACAATATTTGTGGAAAAGCCAGAGGCTTTTTTATTAGGTATTTTAGGTGCAGAGATACCAAAGGAGCAGAAATGATTATTTATGTATGCAACAACAGCAGCGTGGGTACTACTGGCCCCGCGATGGAAAGAAGATAAAGCCACTACCAGAGAAGAATGGTTGATGAAGAGGATGGACTATGCCGAAATGCCGAAATTGACCGGGAAAATCAGAAACCAGGAAGAGAAGATCGTTAAGAAGGAAAGGGAAAATTTTACAATGTATTTAAGAGAACACTGTAAATAACTAAAACTTGAGAGATGCTTGTAATGTACTAAAAACTATGGTAAAAATGGATTATTATTATTTTTTTAAACAGAGAAAATTAGTGAAGCAGCTGAAAAAAGGATTGATAATGGTAACCATGGAAGAGTGGAGGGGAGTCAAAGGATTCAGGGAAACCTAAATGATGATGTTGATGTTTAATGTTTGAATTTAAATTTGCAATGTGAAATTCAATAAAAAAGATTTGACAAAAAAAAAAAAGTTCAAGGCATTAAGATGGGTATATAAAACCCTTAACAGCTTGGGATGCCTTGCCCCATAAGTGCCCACCCCCAGATATGGAACTGTCACCATTACAAACACCACATGACACTTGCTCTGCAAATGTAAGAAATCCATAGTTTATTGTGACAGCACCTACACACTGAGACTCCCTGCAGCTTCAATTCTTTTCAACACTTTTGTTTAAGTGAGTCTGTCCGGACATGTAGATGATGAGGTGTTTTAATCTCTTTTTACTATAAATTCTAATTATCTTTAAATGTTTTTTAAATTGTTTTCAACTGTTTTTACTGATAACTTTAATGTTCCTTGCAGCCCACTTAGAGGTCTTATTACAGTCAAGCCGTCCTGTACATTCAATTTTCTTAAATGAATAAATAAGCTGCGGACAGTATCGCTTGTGTTTAAGCAAATCACTTTGCAAACTGCCCAGGTAGTAAGAAGATGAAATGCAAATGGCCTGAAGTACTGGTACATATACTTTTGCCCATATCCCATTAAGCAAGCTGTTACAGCCCAGATTATCTCCTGCTGGCAAATGACAAGTTTTACTTAGAGCCGGCTAATTATCAATTGAGTTCTAAATTAGTGTCAGGCAAGGTCTTCATCTCAGTTCAGAGCGGGCTCAGCTAAAATGGATTAATTGTTTCTTTTTAAAAGAAAGCCACAATCCAAGACTGTTCCAAAGTTTGGACCCTAGAATCAAAGAGTTGGAAGGGACCTTGAGGATAATCTAGTTCAACTCCCTGCAACGTGAGAAAATGAAGGTGTCCCAAACTGGGATCAAACCAGCAACCTTGCTGTTAGCAGCACTAAGCTCTAACCAACTGAGCCACGCAGTGCTGATGTGTTACAGATGTTCCAAAGCCTATCACATTCACTCAATGGTGTAAGTGTTGATCACTTCTCCTACCTAGGCAGTTATCTTTCCACAAGGGCTGACAATGATGCTGAAATCCAGCATCGCCTGAGCTCTGCAAGTGCAGCTTTCTCCCAATTGAAGTGCAGAGTGTTTGAGGACTGGGACATTCACAGGGAAACCAAATTGCTTGTTTAGAAAACTATTGTACTACCAACCTTAATGTATGCTTGTGAAACATGGACCACTTATAAACGCCATCTCCAACTCCTTGAAAGGTTCCATCAATGGTGTCTCTGAATTTTGTTACACATCACTTGGGAAGACAGGCGAACAAATGCCAGTGTACTGGAAGAAGCAAAGATCACCAGTGTTGAAGCAATGATTCTTCAACATCAACTTCGGTGAACTGGTCATGTTGTGCGGATGCCTGATGATCGTCTTCCAAAGCAACTACTTTATTCTGAACTTAAAAATGTAAAGTGTAATGCTGGTGGTCAACAAAAGAGGTTTAAAGACTCTCTCAAGGCAAATCTTTAAAAATGTAGTATAAACACTGACAACTGGGAAACACTGGCCTGCGAGCGCTCCAGTAGGAGAACAGCCTTTACCTAAGGTGTCATGGACTTTGAAGACACTCGAACTCAGAACGCAAGGGAGAAATGTGCTAAGAAGAAGGCACACTTGGCAAACCCTCACCCTGATCAACTCCTGCCTGAAAACTTATGTCCCCACTGTGGAAGGATGTGTGGATTCAGAATTGGCCTCCGCAGTCACTTACAGACTCACTGTTAAGATCGTGTTCATGGAAGAAGAAGAAGAAGAAGAGTTTGGATTTGATATCCCACTTTATCACTACCCGAAGGAGTCTCAAAGCGGCTAACATTCTCCTTAACCTTCCTCCCCCACAACAAACACTCTGTGAGGTGGGTGGGGCTGAGAGACTTCAAAGAAGTGTGACTAGCCCAAGATCACCCAGCAGCTGCATGTGGAAGAGCAGGGAAGCGAACCCGGTTCACCAGATTATGAGTCTACCGCTCTTAACCACTACACCACACTGGCTCACTCTTACTCGGCTATGAGTGATCAGAAGAAGAAGAAGAAGATAGCAACAGAAGTGTACCAGAGCCCCATGCACCCACATTTCCCATGGACGCTCCAAAACTACAGAGTCCCCTGTTGGTGGTAGCAATAAAAAGTCAATTGTCTGCTAGTCGATTGTCTCCATTATGCCTGAGGAATCTGCAGCAGAATTCTTGGCCAGCACCAAACTTCAGAGGGACTTTGAGCTCAGCTCGGAACTGAGTCTAGAATTCAGAATTGGCTGAATGCATTTCCAACCCCTTCTGCACAACTCTAAAATGTGATGTCATCGCTAATCCAAATTGCTAAGCTTAGTAGCCTTCAGAATTATGAGAGCAGTGCAGAGCAGCAAAATTGCAAGCTAAACAGAGAGGGAAGAATTTATATGTAAGCTAGAACAAGCGTTAATGTTCATGAATGGAACATTAATATTTCTATGGGCAGAAGAAAGCTTTTTCTTTCTGGAAACAGAAACGCTGCTGCTATTCTTTCTGCCTCCCCAGCTTGCAAATCCTTGGGGTTTGTTTTCATAAAAACAGGAGGAGTTGAAAGGGAAAGAGAGGGAGAAAGAGAGCACAACTTTTATTATTCAACACTTTTGGCAGCTCTGGGAATTATTTATTGCAACTCTAGTATGTGGATATTTTAGCTGCTCTGTCAAGATTAGGGGTGGGGGAGGGAGACAAATATATTACCGCTAGAGAATTCTGACAATATTTTCTTCTGCAAAACAGTTCTAGGACATCTTTACATGCTTTATCTTCAATTTTTCTTGGATTACGAGGCAAATGGAAGAGACAACTGTATGTGCATCTGAATGGTAATAATATATATATTACCTTTAATTTCCTAGGAAGTAGTCCATTTAAATGTTGCATTTTATTTTCTTCTGCCTTGACTCTGAAAATGACTATTCTGAACCCTAAATGTTGACAATAGCAGAGGATTATTTTGTTATGTTGGCAAGGGTGGGGGGGATGTGCCATAGCATTTTCGTCAGCAGGTTATGTTTTATTAAAATGATGCCCTTGCATTCATTCCTGTGGGCCACTTCATACATTTCTTATTAAGCTGTACATTGATAATGTTTAGCATGTGCCTCTAAAAATTATTATTAATAATAATAGTATTATTTATTAAATTCATATACCGCCCTATACCCAGGGGTCTCAGGGCAGTTCACAGAATAAAATCAAGATATAAAACCACAAAATACATAATAAAAATATAAAAACAACCACCCAATAGTCCTCCCCCAACCAAAAAAACAAAAACAAAACACATTTTAAAAGGGCATAGGATGTAAATCAGATCAACCAAAAGGCCTGCTTAAAAAGGAACGTTTTCGCCTAGCGCCTAAAGGTGTATAATGAAGGCACCAGGCAAACTTCCCTGGGCAGAGGATTCCACAGACGGGGAGCCACTGCAGAGAAGGCCCCGTTCTTGTGTTGCCACCCTCTGGACCTCTCGAGGAGGGGGCAAATGAAGGAGGGCCTCAGATGATGATCTCGGGGTCTGGGGAGGGTCATATGGAAAGAGGCGGTCCTTGCAAAAGGTCAAATGCAAATGCAATAAGCATATTTGCAAACACACATTTAATAAAACCACCACAGGGTTTTCTTTTGGGTTGTATCCTCGGTGGCAATAATGCATAATGTGTAAAATGGCCCCAGATTTCTTTTGGGTAACGAATAAAGACAAACCAAGTTCCAAGGAGGTTTCCAGTTCCATTTATTTTTGCAGCAACAATGAGATTCAAGTCCACTCCACCAGACCAAACAGACCTATTCTGTTTGTTGAGTCTGGTACTTATGGAAGGATTTGTATGGAGGCATCAGCAATTGCCCAACGCACCATTCAACTAACTTTTACCATGCTAACGTAAAGCTGCTCAAAGTGATTTGTTTGGCCCTTACATATGCATTGAGCAATAAGCTTGGTTGTGCTGAAACAATCATAAGTGTTCACTTATGAATCCGCTTGGAGTACATATGCACTGTGATCGAACACTATGAAGTCCCAAGTTTCAGTTGAGTGATTGAATTGAGTGATTGAATTGAGTGATTCAAGATATCCCGGGGCTTTAAAATACTTAATCTGAGACAAATAGGGTCTTACATTAGTTTGGTCATGGGTATTGGACCTCAACCTAAATAGCAGAAGTCATAATGCCATTGGTGCTATTACCAGCTGTTTTCTATTTCCATAATGTCTGAATAAAGTTAATATAAACAGACTTCAGTTGTGCTTGCAAACCCAATGCCTGCTTATCGGATGAGCTTTGTCTCCATCTCGTCATTATTAAGATTCCTCTCTAGGATAAATAAGCCATGGGATCTGCTTCCTGAAATAAAGGTCATATTTTGTTTGCCACGATCCTTAGGAATACCTTGCCCAGAGCTCTTTCCGGCATGGCAAATTCAACGATCTTCTATACGCTAATGCTTAAAAATAGTTGTTTTATAGCGAGAGGTATCAATTTTTAATGCCGACAACTTTGTGTTCTTCCCAGTGTTTTCTTAAGCACTCAAGTTGTTTGGAAAAAGCTGAAGCATAAACTTGGATGACCCTCGGAGAGAGGGAATTCCATCTATAAAGCGCACTGTTCAATTTTAGAACTTTTACTCCCATATAAATTTCTTATACAAAGCCATAACTTCCAGTCAATACAGAACATCAGGTGAATGAGCAAGTACCCTGATACGGCTCTGTGTTTGTGTTCTGCCATAGACAGAGTGGATATTTTGTGCTTTTATGGGAGTGGGGGGAAGAAAGGTCAAGGAGGCATTATTTATGAACATCCTTTTGCTATAGTCCAGTAATGCTATTATCCCCACAGGCATTCAGGAGACTAGCCAAGTTCATGCTCTCTTTCATATGGAGAGGGGAGGAAAACGGAAAAATCCTGTCTAAAGCTCCACTTATGGTGGGAGCCTTTCCTGCATAATGAGTCCATGATGGCACTGTAGTCTAAACCACTGAGCCTCTTGGGCTTGCCGATCAGAAGGTCGGCAGTTCAAATCCCCATGACGGGGTGATCTCCCGTTGTTCTGTCCCAGCTCCTGCCAACCTAGCAGGTCAAAAGCATGCAGTGCAAGTAGATAAATAGGTACCGCTGTGGCGGGAAGGTAAACGGTGTTTCTGTGTGCTCTGATTTCTGTCACAGTGTCCCGTTGTGCAGTAAGCAGTTGAGTCATGTGGGCCACATGACCCGGAAAGCTGTCTGTGACAAACGCCGGCTCCCTTGGCCTGAAAGCAAGAGAACGCCGCAACCGTATAGTCGCCTTTGACTGAACTTAACCTTACTGTATCAAATGAATAACTGAAGCAGATTGGATTCAACCGCATGCTTTTGTGTAACGATACTCCATGGGTCCACAGAGACCTTTCCGGAAGTTTGCAGAGTCCTCCCCCCCAAAACCCCCTGAAATTAGTCTTAAAAGAAGCATTTTGTTGTAGCCAATAGGTTGTGGTGTGTGTGTGGTGCCCACGGCAGATTCTCTGATTTGCCAGTGTGCCCACAGGCCTACAAAGGTTGGTGACCCTTGTGCGAAGGATACTTTGTCATATCCTCTGCATTATACATAGGGCTACCTCTGAAAGCGGTTCGGAAACTTCAGCTAGTGCAGAATTCAGTGGCCAGGTTGCTCCCCAGAGCAAGACTATTTGAGCATATTACACCAATCCTGGTCCAACTGCACTGGCAACCAATTTATGGGCCCAATGCAAAGTGCTGGTTTTGACCTATGAAGCCTTAAATGGCTCAGGACTGCAATACTTCAAGGACTGCCTCTTTCCATATGAACCTTTCCGGACCCTGAGATCATCTTCTGAGGCCTTTCTTCATGTGCTTCCTTCTTGAGAGGTCCAGAGGGTGGCACCATGAGAACGGGGCCTTCTCTGCAGTGGTTCCCCATCTGTGGAATGCTCTCCCCAGGGAAGTTGTCCTGGTGCCTTACTATACACCTTTAGGTGCCAGGCAAAAACATTCCTTTTTAACGAGGCCTTTGGTTGATCTGATTTACATCCCATGCCCTTTTAATTTTTTTAAATTTTTTTTTTGGTGTGGGTGGACTATTGAGTTGTTGTTTTTATTTTTATTGTGCATTTTGTGGTTTTATATTTTGATTTTATTCTGTGAACTGCCCTGAGTTCCGCCAGGTTTAGGGTAGTATATAAATTCAATACATAGTAATAATAATAAATAATTCCTAAAGTGGATCAGTACAAAACCTCTACCACTATTGATAACCACTTCTTTTTGTTGGGGGAGGGGTGCAAACTGTGTTCATACCAGGGAGGTGAAGAAACTCACGTGAATTCACAATGTGGCCAAAACATTCTGGATGTTTGTGGAATCCATTTTGGATTTTGGGGGATGATGTCTGGCTGTGAGGCTAAGTGCCACAATGAAATGTACAGCGCCAGCCATTCATTTCAGCAAAAGACCGACTGAAGGAAAATAAATGTTTATACAATTACACTTCAGGCACTTTTTGACAGGTTTATCTGTTGTTTTATTCACTCTGATGGACAGTTCTGTGGTGGATCCGGAGCACAGAATCCTTGACCTTTTTACAAACCGACAGAGCTTGCTGTGAAGCAGACGAGCAACTAAACAAAACACACAAAGACCTTTATGTCAATCACCATCAGTGCAAAAACTACAATTGTAGCAACTGTTAAAAGCGAAACACTCGGGTTAGGTCTGAAAAGTAAACATTCATGCAAGCCACCATAGAAATTAGTTAGCTACCAGGTGCTCTATTGTACAACACAGGAATATGATTTTAACAGTTTTGTTGAACGGTTAGGGAGCTTAATCCAGATACTGTTGCTTAAATGTAGGTGAAAATGACTCTGCAAAGTGACCTTAGCTAATATCCATAGTGGAGCCAGGAATTAATTGTTCACTGACTCAGGCTGGTTAAGGGTTAGGGGTGGGGGGTGGAGGTGGTAATTCAGTGTGGTTCATATTTTATGTTGAACCTACCCAAGTCACACTTTCTGAAGCAATGTGTGAATCAAAACACAGCCATACAACAAACTCTCAGTTCTCCGAATTTTGCAAGACGATTTCGGAGCCAAGTGATGTGTATCAAACTGCATGCACAAGCGTAAAGCGTGAATCTAAATCCACGTCATCAGTAATATTCTTCAATAAAAAGGTATATTGGACAAATTTGCATACAAGATTATGCTTATGAATTGAAACACACATACAAACGCTATGAATTTTCATGAGGACAGGCTCTTTAAAATGCAAACCAATGTGGAGAACTGATTTTAAGGCTGGGAAAATCAGAAACTGAAAATGACAGATTAACCAATCCCTTTTAGGGATTGAGGACCCTTTCCAGCTTCCCAAATTTGTTTTTACCACCTTCTGTTTTTATTTGGCTTAGCTACTTAGTTTACTATATCATCCCTTGCCTGCAAGCACCTCTGGCGTGGTGGATCGTGTTAGTTCCTGCTTCCTGCTTGTAGCATGTTATAATCCAGATAATGTGTGTTAATCTTTAGTGGATAAACATATACAAATTCTTGCCTCTGGGTAAGGGCTTTGGATGAGATACTCTTCCCATCCCTTTGAGCTCCCCTGTGTCTATGAATATCCTTCATAATTTCGAGGCGTGCCGGATAAGATTCTACCCTTACTGGTTTCATTAGAATGAATCCTTAAGTATCCTCCTTAATCTTATGCTTCCATGATACAAACAGTGATTGTTTTTAAGATGAAAAGAAACAGACTTCAGTAGCCTGTTGTCCTTGAGGCTATAAGCAAAGCATGCTAACCTTATGACATTTCCAGATTGCAGCCTCCTCCATTTTCTTCACAATAGGTAATTTGCTTAAACATAGACAATCCTTGTCATTCTCACACCTCCCCTCAGTAGTTTCTAAACTGTTAACGATTGTTCAGGTATGACTGAAAATGGTTATAAAATATACATTGCAGTTGCACACATTTTCTGAACGACATTGACAGAGGAATCCTAAGAGGAAATTTCTCTTTGCAGGGGTTGAATGATGTGACAAATTGACCACTACATGTCAAGCCCTGCCCTATCATTGACAGCAAAGGGGGGGGGGTGATTTTGTCACATTTCCCCCCACTATGGCAGCTCCAGAGTCTGGTAGCTGATGGACTGAAGAACCTGACTTTTCGGGAGATCCATAGGCTTTGGAACCAGCAGATCCAAACCTGTCAGTGACCTGCCTCTCATTCCCAAGCACCTAATTTGAGGGTTTTCTGCTTGTTTCCATTGGTGGTAGAATTGCCAGCAGTAGCTCTCCGTCCGCGAGGGCAGCAGACTTCAAATCTGTGTCCCCAGATGTTGATGGACTACAATTTCCATTGCCCCCAGTTAACTTAGTCAATGGTCTGAGATGATGAGAGTTGTACTTCAGCAACATTTAGGGACCCAAGGTTGAAGACACTGTGTTAGGGTGCAACTAAAGCCTTCACTCTAGTTGAGTGCATAATAATAATATTTTTTTTTATACCCCACCCATCTGGGTTGGGTTATCCTCATGACCCACAGCTTTCAACGTCAGGGGAGGTATTAGGGTTATAGTCTCGGCTCTTACTTAAAGTATTCATATTTTAACTACAGTGGAACTCCTACTTATGGACATAATCAGTTCTGGAGGTCCGTCTGTAAGTTGATCCGGGTCACTGGTAGAAGCGCCATTCTGCACGTGTGCATTCAGCGGCGGCGCACTTCTGCGCATGTGCAGATGGCGGCAGCCGCTTATGTGCGTGCACAAACAGCAGAAGCCACTTCTACACGTGCACGAATCGCGGCAAACCCTGTATTTACTTCTGGGTTTGCCACCGTCGAAACTTGGATCAGGCCCAAGTAGAGGCGGTCATAAGTAGAGGTTCTACTGAACTGTGTTTCCAGTTGCTGTAATGTTCATTATGGTATTACCAGGCCCTGGCCCAATTTCATTTATTGTGCTGGTGAAACACACACTGTCTCTCTTTCCCCAATTCATCACTCCCCCCACCCACCCATTCTTTTTTCTTTTGAAGTGGAAATGGCATTGTTCTGTGGAATAATTCACATTGTCTCTTTCAGCCTCCTTCAATATCACATCCCATGTGCTAATTCTGCATGTGGGCATACAGGGAGAGCAGCTAAAAAAGAAATATGCACAAACAGTTATTTTAAAGGTAAAGAAAATGCCACTATTTTGATGAGACGGGAGTTGAATGTCATCTCTGCCTAAGCAGTGTGTAGAACTATAGTAGATGCTGCTGCAAGACTCAAAACTTTAGCTGGTGGAAATGGAAATTCTTGCATTTTTGTTACAGTTATAATAATTCATATTTAGAATCAAGAGAGGGAATACTTGAAAATCTAGCCCATATTCCAGAGATTTTATAATCTAATATATAAATGGGTTATATATTATATGATGAAATATGATGGTCAGCATCATATATGATGCATTGAAATGTGATGTTTTAATGTAACTTAAACTTTGCTTTCCCCCACAGAAATGTGGCTCTGTGTGTGTATAAGAGAAAGAGACAAAGAGTGAGAAAGTGTAGCAATCTAGTAATTTAGAATGAGAAATAATCCCTCTCTCTCTCTCTCTCTCTCTCTCTCTCTCTGTGTGTGTGTGTGTATATATATATATATATATATATATATATATATATATATATATATGCAATCTGAACAGAGTCACCTGGAGGGAGTAATACAAATGTGCCCAGGCCTCCTCTTCTCTCAACCTTTAAACATTGATTGAGCTATCTGGCTATATTCGTAAATAAGTTGCATTGGTCTAGATCAGGGTGGGGAACTTTTGGCAGACAAAGGGCCACGTTGCCACGTTACAGGAACAACATGACAGTGGTGGGTGGGGCCAGAGGAAAAATGGGTGGAGCAACAGATATGACTCTTACTTTTGCACAGTAAGCTGCATTTCAGCCATGTAAATGTGAAAGGTTTCTACATGTACAATTTTCCATTTAGTCAAGTTAGAGGCATGATCACAACTGAACGTCACATTCCAGACAGTCAAAATGTCAAGGAGCTGTCAATACGTTGGTAGGCTTGCAAGCAGCTTTGTAAGGAAAGGTACAAAAACCACTGCAGATAAGAATAAGAATGTATGATGTTTTAATGTTTTGGATTTTAAAGCAATGGTTAAATAGTGAAAATGCAGAAATTTGAAATGAAAGATAGAAAATCATAAGGAAGGTTTGAAAGAAGTCAGGGCCCTAAAAAGCCAAAATGTATAATATAAGAGGAGATATTGCAATGGAAAGTATTATTGTAAAACTAATAAAAATGATATGGAAAAAAAATGTCAAGGAGCTGTCAGGCAAGCGCAGATCATTCACAGGGTGGGAAAGATCTTGAGGCACAAAATGCCATTAGCTTTTATTTAAAGAAAGTAACAATATCACAGGGCTCCTCTGGCTTGTCTCAATTCAGCTGCAGACATTGCTGAAACTGACCACTGGCTCTTCCCTACCCCTCTAGCCTCACACTCTGGATCCCTCCCCAGCAGATGAAGATGGCAGCGCAGGGGTGGTCTCCTCCAGCCAGCATGGTGTAGTGGTTAAGAGCAGTGGACTCGTAATCTGGTGAACTGGGTTCGCGTCTTCGCTCCTCCACATGCAGCTGCTGGGTGACCTTGGGCCAGTCACACTTCTTTGAAGTCTCTCAGCCTCACTCACCTCACAGAGTGTTTGTTGTGGGGGAGGAAGGGAAAGGAGAATGTTAGCCGCTTTGAGACTCCTTCGGGTAGTGATAAAGCGGGATATCAAATCCAAACTCTTCTTCTTCTTCTCCTGTGAGCCTGTCTGGCCCATTGCTCGGCAGTGTGCAGGACTCTCCTTGGGTGGGTGTCAGAGGGAGAGCCAACAGGACTGGGACTGTCCTGCTGCTGGGTAGCGACAGCAACCTCTGACTCCTCTCTGTCTGAGTCTAAGCTCACACTGTGAGTCTCAGCCTGCCCTGGAAGGGCCTCCTCCTTCTGACCCCCTTGACCACTCCAACCTCCTGCTTCTAGCTGTTAGGATATTCCGTTCCACCTTAAGTACAGGCATGACTGTTGTATGTCACATTCCTGTTTACACTCCAGCACAGCTAGCTGGGAACTTCCATTTGTGTATAGCGTTCGCTTTTAGCCGCTTGCTTTTGGACACGAAAGGGAGAAGACATGTTTTCCTTTTGTCCTGATGTATGCTGAATAAATATGCTCAACATGGCCTCCCTCTGTCATTTCTGTTGCACAGCGTTATTTACTCTGCTGAGTGTGTGTGCCCACCTTCTGAAGGCTTTCCGAAGCTAGGGTCACAGTATTATGCTGATCCAAGGACTGGAGATTGCCTGGCACACTGGCCGGTGGTCTGGGGCCGTCTGGGGCCTGCCAGTTGCCCCCGATTCCTTGGCTGCATCCCAACACTAGCACCTCCCAGCTCATCCATCCCCCAGACTGCTCCCCAGTGTCCCACCACCATGACCCGGGGTCTAAGTTGTATTCTTCTGTGTCATTCCTGGGCTGGCGGCACCCACCACTCTGCTTCATCCAGCCAGTTCCTGACACAAAAGCACTCGAGGAGGGCATGGAGTAGGGCTGCTGAGGGGTGGGGCATGGGAATAAGGGGGTTGGTCTAAGGGGGGTGTTGTTGACTGAGAAGAATCCCAAGGGCTGAGTAGAGAGGCCAGGGTGGTGGTGGGCTATATGTGTCCACTGGGCCTGAGGTTCTCCACTCCTGGTCCAGGTTGTCTCCTATGATGTGACTCTTGAATGAATGATGTAGAATGAAATGGATATGCAGGTTCCATGCAAGAGTGAATGAATATGTGAAGCTTGGGAGTAGAGTCATCAGGCACAATCCAGTGCTTTTTCTGGGGGTACACAGGGGTATGCATATCCCTAAACATTTTGTGAATCTAAGTTTGGCCTCATTGAGGGGCAGTCTTTCAAGATGAGTAGGAAAATGAGAGTACCCCTAAACATTTTTTTAAAGAAAAAAAGCACTGCTGCTCCCCCAAACCATGCCTTGAATATTCCTGGGTTTCATGTTATTTGCAGAGGGCTATTAGGAGTTGGGGGGTGCGGGTGGCGCTGTGGGTTAAACCACAGAGCCTAGGACTTGCTGATCCGAAGGTTGGCAGTTCGAATCCCCACAAAAAGTGCAAGTAGATAAATAGGTGCCGCTCCGGCAGGAAGGTAAACGGAGTTTCTGGTTCGCCAGAAGCGGCTTAGTCATGCTGGCCACATGACCTGGAAGCTGTACGCCGGCTCCCTCAGCCAATATAGCAAGATGAACGCCGCAACCCCAGAGTCGGTCACGACTGGACCTAATGGTCAGGGGTCCCTTTACCTTTATTAGGAGTTGGCAGAGATAGATAGAATACTGATTTTGTATGCACAGGTAAGCATGAATATAGGACAAGTGATCCTGCATGTCGCATGAATGACCTATGATGATTGAAGGCAGTGGAATCACAATAACAAAGATTTGGGGAAGGAATGTCGTGATAAGACATAAGATGGGGAGAGCTGAGTTCATATACAGGGAGAAACGAGTGAAGGAACTGAGAAACTAGATATGATCAGAGTAGCTGGTGGCAAACTATTTTAGCAGATTACTATAAAGAGGGGTGTGAGCATCCAGGTGAAATTAAAGATGAAACAGTAAAGAGAGCTGCAGTAATCAAAGGCAGAGTTGGCGCGGAGTCTGTTTCCTTACGTATTTCAGCTTCTGAGTGCCATAATGGGATTGAAAAGTCTTTAAGAGCTCTAGTTAATTTGGAATACTGGACAGTAAGAGGCTGTATAATAGTATCATACATCACTTGAATCAAGATGTCTGGTGCAATTTTTGGGGGCGATATTATTCCTGAAGATCCATAAGGATTGTCAGTGTAAATTAATATCAATGGCTTCTCCCCCTAAGTAAGTAAATAAATAAACCCACCATTCCATTGACCTAATAGGTAAGTGAGCTGTAGTAGCTGAATTTGGGCTACGTCAGATGATCACAAGTGAGGTTCCATGTGCATACTGAATCCCTCTGCAAATGCAGTTGGTAGTCAGAGGAGAAATATATTTGGCCGTATCTTGCAGCAAAAGCTACAAGGGTGTCTTGGATACATGAAGGTCCATACAGTGTAAATGCCTAGCTGCATGAAACACTAGAATTGTGTGAGTACCAGCATGGCGCAACTCTAAATCTAGGTTTTGGAGAGGAGGAGCAAATTGGGCATAGAGATGCTCAGAATCTCCTGTCTACATCTCCATCTCCACTGCTAATGGGCCTGAAATGGCCGTAGATCTGCCTTTCACAAACTGGATCCCTACAGATTTCTTTGGACTACAACTTCCACTAAGCCTAGCTAACATGGTCTGTGATGAGGAGAGTTGCAGTTGAAAATATTGGGAAGGCACCAGGTTGGAGGAAGCAGTGGTAGACGTTCCCATAAAGAACTGAGAAAGGGAAAACTCTTATAATAGCCTAGCCAAAAAGAACCCCACCATTCGAATTCTGTGTGATATATGTTTGCCACTGAGAATTTAAGTCTTAAGGGGGCTGCTTTGCGTTCCAAGGGAGTCTGCATATTTCAGTTTTCCATTTCCTTGACTATAAACTTTGAGAAGTTACTTTCTTGGAAAGAAGGGTGGAGAGTTAAAAGACAAGAAGACTATGAATAATTTAATTTTGAAATCATCAAAGTAGGAGAAACATTAGGGACCTGCCCCCTCCCTAATGTAGGAATCCATGTGAAATGCAAATGGCTGGAAGACAGCCAAAGGTTTAGGCTACAAGTAAAAAAAAATCTCATTTTGAAAGGTTTTAGAGCACTGAATTATTTGCTCTTGCAGCAGAAAAAAACCAAGTTGTTTACTTTCACAGTATAGAATTTTCTCAAGATGAAGCATAATTTAAATATTCATTCACTTCAGTTCTTTGAGGTTTATAGAGCTCCATACTAAGTAATAGGATTGAATCCATGTATACTATTACTAATCGGAGTGGAGGGACCGAATAGAAGACTCGAGGGATGGAAACATTATTGGCAACAGGACACCACAGCAAAGCTACAATAAGCAACAATATGTAAAGGGACGAAATTAAAGAAGAGTAAAACTGTACCCATTAAAACACTGCTATGAGAACCTGGTTGTATCTGCAGCAAAATTCAGAAGTTGGCAACTAACTTGCAATAGATACATCTATACAGGGTTACAAACACTTTGGGTTAAAAACGCTTCGGGTTACAAACTCCGCTAACCTGGAAGTAGTACCTCGGGTTATGAACTTTGCCCCAGGATGAGAACGGAAATTTTGGACAAAATGGACTGTTTCAAGAAGTGGCAGAGAGATATCTCTAGATTTGTCTGGCAGGGCAAGAAGCCTAGAATAAAATTTAAAATACTAACGGATGCAAAGGAAAGAGGTGGATTTGCCCTGCCAGACCTTAAACTTTATTATGAATCAGCAGCCTTTTGCTGGTTGAAAGAATGGCTGCTTCTTGAAAACTCAGACATTTTGGATTTAGAAGGTTTTAATAATGTATTTGGATGGCATGCATATTTGTGGTATGACAAGGTCAAAGCACATAAAGCATTTAAAAACCACATTGTCAGGAAAGCATTGTTTAATGTTTGGATAAGATATAAGGACTTACTGGAAAACAAAACCCCAAGGTGGCTGTCACCGATGGAAGCGAAAGCTCAGAAAAAGCTCAATATGGAGGCCAGATGGCCGAAATATTGGGAAATTTTGGAACAAGAGGGAGATAGACTGAAATTGCAGAGTTTTGAGAAATTAAAAAACAAAGTGCGAGACTGGCTTCATTATTATCAGATAATGGAGGCATATAATTTGGACAAGAAAATTGGCTTCCAGGTGGAAAAATCAAAATTAGAAACAGAATTGTTAGAACCCAAAACTAAGATTTTGTCAAAAATGTACAACTTGCTGTTGAAATGGAATACACAGGATGAAACGGTGAAATCTGTTATGATTAAATGGGCACAAGATGTTGGACATAACATAATGATGGCTGACTGGGAACAGTTATGGACCACAGGTATGAAGTTTATGGCATGCAATGCCTTAAGAGAGAATATTATGAAAATGATATACAGGTGGTACATGACACCAGTCAAGCTTGCAAAAATTTACCATGTGCCCGATAATAAATGTTGGAAATGTAAGGAAAATGAAGGTACTTTCTTTCACCTTTGGTGGACGTGCCCAAGGATTAAGGCTTTCTGGGAGATGATTTATAATGAAATGAAAAGGGTATTTAAATATACCTTTCTGAAGAAACCAGAGGCCTTTCTCCTGGGCATGGTCGGCCAATTGGTGCCAAAGAAGGACAGAACTTTCTTTATGTATGCCACAACAGCAGCAAGAATACTTATTGCAAAGTATTGGAAGACGCAAGATCTACCCACCTTGGAAGAATGGCAGATGAAGGTGATGGACTACATGGAACTGGCGGAAATGACTGGCAGAATCCGAGACCAGGGAAAAGAGTCGGTGGAAGAAGATTGGAAGAAATTTAAAGACTATTTACAGAAATATTGCAAAATTAATGAATGTTAGAATGATGTCAGAATGAAGTTAAGTGGTTTAAGCAGTAATGTTATAAAGGTGTATGAAAAATGGATTATTAACAGGTAGAACTCAAAGTTATATTATATTAAGTTAAAGGATTAAGATAAAAACAAAGAGGGAAAGAAATTGCTAAATTAACTAATTGAATTGGAATACAAAAAAGGGAGGTGTGAGGAGGTCAGGGAAGTAAGGATATGAATATATGATATGGAAAGATTGATGTGTTTTCTTTTTAATTTTTTTTTAAATCTTTTTTCTGTATTTTGTATTTTTCTTTTTTGTTATTTTTATTTTTGTTTTCTCTTCTATTCTTTTTATCTATGTAATTTTTTTTCTTTGAAAACTTAATAAATATCATTAAAAAAAAGAAAAGAGAATGGAAATTGTGGGGGGGGCAGTGCGGCAGCAGCAGGAGGCCCCATTAGCGAAAGAACAGACCTCCAGAAAGAATTAAGTTTGTAACCCGAGGTACCACTGTATATGTACCATCACAATGCATGGTAATGGTTCCATGCATATAAAAAAAGCTAAAGAAATTACAGAATCATAGAATTGTAGAGTTGGAAGGACCTCAATGATCATCTAGTCCAATGCAGGAATCCTGCCCACAGTTTAACAAATTTATCTACATGATTCACAAGCCTTTGTAAAGCTTAAAAAAATAAAAATGAAGAAGAAGCCTGAATTCAGAAAGTGGTTCGGACAATCAACCTTCTTGATTATCTCACTGTTAAATATTTCAACATACGCTTTTGCACTTGGTGGTTTTGTGTGGAAGTTTAAAATCACTCGGGTTATATAATTTTATTCAGTTTTCTGTTTTACAATTTAAAATACTCATTTTACATCCTTAAGATATCAATGACTTCCCTTCTTCTCTTTCTGTGGTTCATTTTGCGTACCATAAATCCCTGCATATTTTACAAAAAGGATACCATTCATTATTCCATTCTTGCAGCCATCGAAACTTGTTTACACTGTTGAATTTATCTTAATGCTGCCAGCATTTTCAGCTGTACACAATTATTTCCCATATATTCAATAAACGTTTTCCAGTCTTCTTTAAACGTATGCTCTTCTTGTTCTCTTATTCTATATGTTAAGTCTGCGAGTTGCATGTCGAGGTCCCCAAGACACCCCCCCCCGTTAAAGACAATTGACACATGATTTTAGTTTTAAGGTTATTGGCATAATTTTGGCCACAACTTTACTAAAATTACAAGCGATGTGAGTGGTTGCTTAGGCATTGGATGCGACTATCTGACCCCGCAGGGGGACAGACTGACATTTGCACGCCCGCAAAGTCAGAAAGGGAAAACATTTTGGGGAGAGAGACAGGACTGGGGACCATGCCTCACCTCTCCCCAAATGCTCCCAGGGGCTCTTGTGTGGCCCTAGCCCCTTGACAGGGGTTAGGACAAAAGTATGGCGAGCCCCTGGATTCCTTTAATGGGATACCCTTGCAGGAGCAGCATTTCGGAGGGGCAGGCACAGCCAATCCATGCCCCTCCACCAACCAATTCCTAAGCCAATGCCTAACCGCAACCTTACCATAGCTGTCAACTTTCCCCTTTTTTAAAGGGAAATCCTCTTATTCTGAATAGGATTCCTTGCAAGAAAAGGGAAAAGTTGACAGCTATGAACCTTACAAGTTATGACGATTTGCTACGCAGTAGGCAAAAACCAAATGGCACCAGCCAATCAGCCAAATGGACAAAAATCCTATCGGGCCCCTGCCCCAAAAGCAGACGACCCCATGACAGGCATAGCAAGGTCAAGTGAACCACCTGAAAATAGGGAGGGAGGGTGGGTGATCCAATGCACGCAGCAAAAAAAGGAAGCTCAGTGCTGTGCGCAGGGTATTTAAAAGCTTTAGCTGTCAATCACGAAATGGCGACATTTAAATCTCCCCAGCAACAGTGAGCTCAATGATAATGATGGCCAAACTCTTTTCCCCACCCAGCAACAGTGGGTGTCTTGCTAGCCCCCACCATAACACATGCTCTCCATGAAGGAGAACACGCTTTGTGAATATTCTGTCAACTTAAGTTGCCATTCTTCTTTGGTTGGGACCTCGCTCCATTTTGGTGCTAACAAAACGTAGCATACATAAATAACCTTTTTTTGACACCTGGGAATTTCAGTCTGAATTATCCCCAACAGAAAGGACTCTGGTTTTTTTTTTTTTGGGGGGGGAGTACTTTTAAATGTTTTTTCCAATTCATTATGGATCATTTCCCAATACTCGTTTACCCTTTTACAAGTAAATCAGGATAAATACAATTGAGCCGAGCACAGTGGACTCCCGGCACCAACTTCAGAAACCAAGCAGCTAAGTAGAACTGAGAAACTTGCAACCTCCCCTCCAAATCCTTAAGCCAGATAGCCTATTCAAAGGAATGCTTCTAGATTCAGGTAGGTAGCCGTGCTGGTCTGATGCAGTCGAAATATATAAAAAATTAAAAAATTGTCCAGTAGCACCTTAGAGACCAACTAAGTTTAGACAGCCATCCAATCTTTTTTTTTAAAATATATTTTTATTGAACAATTCTAACAAACAAATTATGAATCAATATAACCAATTGCATTTCTCCTCTTTTTATTCCCTCCCATCCCTCAGCTCCCCTCTTTGATTTGTTTGCACATATTATTCTCTGCATGTTAAAAAGTTATACATATCATTACCTTATCTATCCTATGTTCTACTAATAAATTTGTGAATGTTTATTCAAAACCTGCCAAGGAATCCAAGTCCTTTTGTTGTCTTTTTAAATATGTAAGAAGTTCCCATTCTTCCTTAAAGCCACGGTTGCCCTTCTCTCGTAGTTTATATGTTAACTTGACAGCCACCCAATCTTAAACTCCTCACCCACAATAATACAGCAAGAAGACTTAACACGGACACTGGTACCAGAGCCTGCAATAAACCTAGATGCCAACTTTGCTGCCACATGCACCCAGACAACACCATCACTGGACCCAACTAGCCCAAGGTCACCCAGCAGCTGCATGTGGAGGAGCAGGGAAGCGAACCTGGTTCACCAGATTTTGAGTCCACCACTCTTAACCACCACACCACTCTCTCTCTCTCTCTCTCTCTCTCTGTGTGTGTGTGTGTGTGTGTGTGTGCACGCGCGTGTGTGTGTGTGTGTGTGTGTGAGAGAGAGAGAGAGATATTACATAATAATAATCTATTCCCTGTGCAGGGTGAAAATTCACTGACAAGTCATTCTCTTAAATTTCTGAGCAAACATAGCACTATAATCTGTCATCTCACTTTAGAACTAGTATTGTTAATAAACTCAAGATTTCACTTTTATGCAGATGTCCTGTTCATTACCCAGTTCATAAGTGGATCAAAGTTCACTGTGGGAATGACACTATTGATTAGCATATACTTGAGATTACCCAAACGTGTTTTTTTGTTTTAAATAATCTATCCCAAGCCTTTTGTTTCACCTGTGACTTCCAAGTACACTCTTAAATGTATGATCAAAACATAACCAGTGGTGTGCTATTGTTTTTTCAGATATGGTGAACATTGCCTACTCATATGCATATATTGTTTGGAAGCTTAATAACCAAAGTGGTGTGAACATCCCAAGAGACATCTCTTCCAAGTAGACTTAGACTTAGAGTTGACCAAGCCCTAGACCAGGGGTCAGCAACCTTTTTCAGCCGTGGGCCGGTCCACCGTCCCTCAGGCCATGTGGTGGGCTGAACTATATTTTGAAAAAAATAATGAATGAATTCCTATGCCCCACAAATAACCCAGAGATGCATTTTAAATAAAAGGACACATTCTACTCATGTAAAAACATGCTGATTCCTGGACCATCCATGGGCCAGATTGAGAAGGCAATTGGGCCGCATCTGATCCACGGGCCTTAGGTTGCCTACTCCTGCCCTAGACATACAGCCATTGTGACTGGGCAATCAACTGAGGTGGCCTCAGAACTGATAGGGCCTGCTACTGTGAATGACAAGGGAAAGCTGTCACCTCTACAGTCAACTCAATGAAATAAAACCACAGCAACTGTGTACTTTGTGCAACAGTCTTGTCTGTCCTGCACACACAGCTGTGAAATGGGATTGTGAATAAATTACTCTGGTAGCATGTGCTATGATGCAAGATCTGTGAAATTTCTTTCTATTGTTTCTAGTAATTTACAGTTTAGGATTATCACACTATTAGTCTTTGACAGCTATTATAGTTATGTTACATGCATGGGGTGCAGGTGGCACTGTGATCTAAACCACTGATCCTCTTGGGCTTGCTGATCAGAAGGACGGCGGTTTGAATCCCCGTGACAGAGTGAGCTCCCATTGCTCTGTCCCAGCTCCTGCCAACCTAGGAGTTCAGAAGCACGCCAGTGGGTTTGAGCCCCACATTTGGCAAAAGATTCCTGCATTGTAAGGGGTTGGGCTAGATGACCCTCAAGGTCCCTCACAAACTCAATTTCCTGATTCTCTGATTCCATGAAACCAATATTCCCCCTCCCACGGGTTCCATCTATTCATGAATATCTACCTTCCACAAATCACATTCGTGCACATGCAACATTCTGCCTAAACTACATTTGAAACCTCCCATTTACTCACACAAACATATACCAGCCGACATCCAAAAACATGACATCCATTCACCTTTGTGCCCTGCTTCAGTCCACAAATATCCACTGGCTTCTGTTGACAGTCTTCCAAAGGTGAACTTCCATCAGCCAATATCTACAAACATCAGTCTGCTTTAGCCTTGTAGCCCCCACCGACTTCCAAATCCAAATGCCACTGGCTTCCATCCACCAACATCTGCCAGCTTCTCTTAGGTCCATCATGAAACATCCACCAGCTTCCAACCATGAATACCAGCAGCCTTCAAGCAAGCAAACTTGCCTTATTATCGCTCCCTAGCATCCCACTGCCAGAGGATTGCCTCCTTCCATTCACCAGTTTGCCTCCTCCAAGTGAAAGAAACCTGGGCAGTGCTGAATGTCACATCCATTGCCAGGTGTGTCCTGCTGGAAACAGAAAAGGGCTTTCCCCCTGGCCTGCCTGTATATCCACTCAGTTGCCAAGTGCTCTTGTGACATCACAAGAAACCCACAGCCAATGACAACAGCTAAGGAGGCATCAACTTCATTGCTTTGAGCCTCACAATGGCAGGTGGACCTATCAGTGATTGTGTGCTTGTTTATTCAGGATGCGGGTGGAGCTGTGGTCTAAACCACTGAGCCTCTTGGGCTTGCCAATCAGAAGGTTAGTAGATCTAATCCCCATGATGAGATGAGCTCCTGTTGCTCTGTCCCAGCTCCTGCCAACCTAATAGTTCGAAAGCATGCCAGTGCAAGTGGATAAATAGGTCCTTTACCTTTTATCTTACATTACATATATGTTAAAGGTAGGGTTTTGTTATGTTTAAGCAACTGTCAGGTTCTCGCATTGCAGAGAATGGTTTCATTAGAAAAGGGAAAGTCTCAGTTAAGGCATGTGGTTTGTTGGTTTGTTTGTTTTACTTTGAAATGGTGCCATGAATAACAACTTCCACCAAGTTTTATTGGAACTTTATTGGGGACCCTAATACCATATTGGTGCTGTCATTTTTGTTGTTGACTGAGCATTAAAAGCAGCTAGACTGTAAGACAGAAGATTTAGAAGGGCTAAGTTTACAATGAATTTACCATAGTTTTCTACATTGAACTAGGCTATGCCAAATATCATGTCCAAAGTTGTGTTTATGCCAACGTCATTACACCATATTCTTTTGATTATAAATTGTTTATAATTTGATTTTAATATTATGTACTTCCATTGCTCTTAGGAGCTTGCATATGAAGTGAGGTTTAAAAAGCACCAAATAGAAGAAACTTTATCCACTTCATGACTGAAATCCATGACTACACAACACATTAAGAAACTATTTCACTCAGTCCTTCAAACAGTTCTGCTACATAATGGAGGTATGTTTAAGCTCCAAAGATGATTCTCAAATGTTTTAATATTAAAACATTAAAATACAATTTTGTGCCCTGGAACTGGGACACATGAGGATGACTCCTAAATGAGCTTTTATTATTTTTGCAATAATTTCAGCTTAGGAGCTTTGAGCAGCATCAAGGTTTAATTCATAAAACACTCACCCTTTCATTAACATAGTTTTCCCAGTACACTTTTGAACTTATTTTCTAAATGGTTGTATCTTTCCTCCTTTTCTTAAAGATCATGGGAGCAACTGTCTACTAGCTCCATCTGGTACGCAGGCTGAGACCCTACCTGCCCGCAGACTGTCTCGCCAGAGTGGTGCATGCTCTAGTTATCTCCCACTTGGACTACTGCTATGTGCTCTACGTGGGGCTACCTTTGAAAGTGACCCGGAAAATACAACTAATCCAGAATGTGGCAGCTAGACTGGTGACTGGGGGCGGCCGCCGAGACCACATAACACCAGTCTTGAAAGACCTACATTGGCTCTTAGGACTTTTCTGAGCACAAGTCAAAGTGTTGGTAATGACCTTTAAAGCCCTAAACGGCCTCAGCCCAGTATACCTGAAGGAGCATCTCCACCCCTATCGTTCTGCCCGGACACTGAGGTCCAGCGCCGAGGCAAGGGCCTTCTGGCGGTTCCCTCACTGTGAGAAGCAAAGCTACAGGGAACCAGGCAGAGGGCCTTCTCGGTAGTGGCGCCCGCCCTGTGGAACGCCCTCCCACCATATGTCAAGGAGATAAACAACTACCTTACATTTAGAAGACATCTTAAGGCAGCCCTGTTCAGGGAAGTTTTTAATGTGTGACATTTTAATGTTTTTTTAATCTTTGTTGGAAGCCACCCAGAGTGGCTGGGGAAACCCAGCCAGATGGGCGGGGTACAAATAAATTATTATTATTATTATTATTATTATTATTATTATTATACAAAGATATTTGCAACATAAGCAAAATATTTCTCCATTGCAGGCGGTTGGACTAGATGACCCTCTTCATGACATGAAAGCTGGCAACATTAACTCCACCATGTGGGAATCCCTTGCAGATGACTGCAGTGCCTGGAGACAGACCATCAGGTTGTGTGGCCACAGCACTGACCAGAGGAGCAATGACTGCTGGGAGGAGCACGGAGAGAAGTGCCATGATATGCCTGTATCAGCACAACTGGATGCCTTCATCTGCCCCAGCTGCAACAAAACATGTCTCTGTCATATTGGTCTCTACAGTCACAGCAGACACTGCAACTCTCCAATGATTTGACTTCACTCCCAAACTTCCATTGTCTCCCAAGACAGACAGATGCCAACAAACCATTCAGTGATCCTACCAAAAAATAAAATGGTAGGGGAGGATCAATCATGGCAGGGTAGTAAATATAATTGGCAGCAACACTGTAGTGTAATATAGACTGAGCAGAAAATATGCCAATGACAAGTTATGCAGGGTAGGGACTCAATCTTAGGTATTTAACACCAATCTGTTTTACCTTTGAGATCCGCAAGAGATTGAGAACCGAAATGTGATCTTGCATATTTAAACCTCACCAAATGCGATTCCACCTTGCATCTTCAAAACCTGAATGGATGGACTCAAGCTCATATTAAATAAATCTTTTCATCTTACTCCAACATAAATTGGTAAAGGTAAAGGTAAAGGGACCCCTGACAATTAGATCCAGTTGTGGCCGACTCTGGGGTTGCAGCACTCATCTTGCTTTATTGGCCGAAGGAGCCGGTATACAGCTTCCGGGTCATGTGACCAGCATGACTAAGCCACTTCTGGCAAACCAGAGCAGCACACGGAAGCCTTCCCGCCGGAGCGGTACCTATTTATCTACTTGCACTTTGACGTGCTTTCGAACTGCTAGGTTGGCAGGAGCAGGGACCGAGCAACAGGAGCTCACCCCGTCGTGAGATTCGAATCGCTGACCTTCTGATCGACAAGTCCTAAGCTCTGTGGTTTAACCCACAGCTCCACCCGTGTCCCAACATAAATTGGTACCCACATGCAAATTATAGATCAATAGTTGGCCTATTCCTAATCAAGTTGATTACATGATCAGGTGTATATCCAAGTTTAAGAGGCTGATAATAGCCCCGTAGAACAAATGCCAAAAGTGGTTTGGCCTCGCTTGCTTCGCCAGACATGTTAGGTCATTCACCGCTCACTGACTCCCATTCTCTCCAGCAATTCACAGGTGAAAATAGTAACACACTTTTATACATGTAAACACTCCTAATAGCATGGGTCATTGCCTGGACATCCTTTAAAGATAGCTGACGTCTCTTCCCTGCTTGCTCCACATTAAACTGACTAGGATTTTTTTATTAAAAAACCAAATAAGAATGTTTAATCTCTCAATGGATCTGGTACAGAACAACCATAACTGGAACACATTCACCAACATTTACTATCTGAGCAAGTAGTCATGGGGCGGATTGTGGTCTGTAGGGAAGCAGCGATAGGTTTATCTGTGTCCATGCACATTTATTAGAGTGAAGTTGCCTTTGCCTCAGTGAGAGGTTTAGCTTTGAAACACTGGCTGGATGTGAGCTGAAACCAGAGCAGTTCTACTGTATTTGTGCACGCTTAGTAAACCTGTTTGAAAGCCACTGGCAACACCCCCACAAAATGCAAAACAGGGTCAGGGTTTCTCCAGGGACAGGAATCAGAAAGTGGGGACCATCTCTGGTAAACAGGGACAGGTGAGGCATTTGAGCTGTGTATTGTAGGGCGATTTGCAAGAGTGTTGCAGGGAATAGGTCAAAGTCATGCTATTTGAGCAAAGTTAATTGAATGGCAGCTCAGTGGTTTGCATCCTTTTTGGGTGTCCTGTTGGAAATGAGCACAATTTGGATTCTTTTTGAAGTATATAATCTTTTGCTGTTGGCTGGATTATATCATGCTAATCCTTTGAGAGTGCCTTGCTACCATCTAAACTGTTGTAAAGGGTGAATTTTAAAGTCAGGAACTTTTCATTAACAAGTGAAGGTCTTTTAGGAAATGCTTTTTTATTGAGTATTTAAACACTTCACATTTATTTAAAAAACCACCTTGGAGATATTTCTATTGGGGAAAAGAAAGAACAGGATTGGGGAACAAAGGAGTTTAGGCATTGATGGAAAGAAGTGAGGAAGAAAGGGGCAATGGAAACCTTGAGCAATAATATTAAAATTAAAACTGAAATTAAAATTATTATAGCTGCTTTAATAGTCTTCTATAACGCTGTTCAATATTCTTCTTCTTTGGAATGTTATATATTCCTGGCTTCATTGACCACATTGCTTGGTAAACGTCAATTATTCCTAATCTTTTATGAATTTCCATATCTGATAGTGTTCCTGTCCATTGTTCTCTTCTTGGTAGTTCCTTATATTTCCAGTTTAATATTTCTATTCCTTTTGCTACCAAGGTATGGAGGGAATGCATATCTTATTTTTTTCTTACATATCTTATTTTTCTCTGTATAATTAACATGAATAATTTGGTAAGCTATGCTTTGCTGTTTTCGTTTCACAGGGTAATTTTCAGCAAACAAAGGAGGGAAGCAAAAACAATTAACCACCTTATTGCATTACCATTGTGTGTTCAGTATTCATCTCTCAGTAATTAGCTTATATAAATAAAAGCTTATATTTATTGACATAATTTGGCGGTATTCCGTAGTTATGAAATGGTGGAACTGAGTTTCATGTTCCATTACCTGGATGGCACCAAAGAACATTCATGAACGCAGAGAAGTTTGCTGATCAGGCCAATTTGAATTTAATTTTGGGGAAATTGTTCAGGAAAAGCAATTTTTCAGGAAAAGGGCTACAAGTTCACCCAAACAAATGCTGGCAAGGAAGCACAAATATTTAAAAAATATATTACATTTGATGTTTTGCTTGGTCCATCCCAAAAGCCATGTAAAAGTTGCCCCAATCCTGCAGTCCTCTTCCACACATGGCTTGCACACCTGATGAGATCCTGCTATGTAATAACATTGACAACAACAGCTTCCTCCAACCTGGTGCCCTCCAGATGTTTTTGACTACAATTCCCATTAGCCCCAGTAAGCATGGTCAATGTTCAGGCATGACAGGAGTTTTAGCCCAAAACATCTGGAAGGGTACCAAGTTGGGGAAAGCTTCCATGGAGATTGGCAGAGTGAATCTGCACATCTCTTTTCATGTCTACTAAGAATAACAGCTGTAGTACAGTGAAGATAACCAGTCTGTCCTCTCAGATCAGCTATTGACATTTTGAGGTAGCTGGCCAGTGTTTATCTGCCTATTACTGCTGATGCTTTGGTGAATACATACGTTGGTGAAAACTAGGGGTGTGCACCAACTACAATATTAAGTTTGTATTCTGTTTTGGTGTTTTGTATAAAAGCCCTATTCTGTCGTTGGTTGTCTGACTCAGTTTGGATCCAAATAATGATTTAGAAAAACAATGCACTGCGCCTTCCCCACTCACTGTTTTGGAGAAGATGTTTCTTTCCCCCTTTGACAGAAAGGAACTTTCCTCATTTTGAAAGGATTGGATGAAACTGCAAGCACAGTAGCCCCATTTGATGGGACGTATTGTCAAGTATAATGGTTTAATTGACACAAAAATGGAAAAAAATGGCTAAAGGTGTACTGCAGGAGGTTTAACATGGTGCTTTTGTTAAAGTCAAGGAGAGCACTTTGATCTCTTGCTAAGTTAATGATCAACTACCCAATTGTTGTTTCTCTGTTAGCTAAATGTGCGTGTTGTAACCTTAGATCATGTGAGAGGCACTGAGTTGCAAATCTCCACTTTGAAGGGAGTTGCCTTTGAGGGCTTTCCCCCCTCTCCCAAAATCAATGGATTGAAGGTGTAAAATGAAGCTCTCCTGAAGGGAGAGCGAACAGCCTGGAGGCTGGAATGCAGGCTGTGGAGGGAGCCAGAGATCTTTGCTTTTACGTCTGTTTGGATTATTTCATATTTTCTGACAGAAAGCTTAAGTTCCACCAGCTGAAGCAGAATACTCTGAAGCTCAGCTGGGTTGAGGGATCTGCACCAACATAGCCCCGGCTCAGCCATGGCAGCCTATTCTAAACCCACTTGCTCTGAACTCCACAAAATCGGTAGAAGGTAATGAAGGGGATGCTCCTTATGAACAGATATTGAGTCATTGGCATCATGAGTGACACTGTTATACAGTGGTTTCGCTCCTTCCTCCTGGGCCGTGTTCAGAAAGTGGTGGTGGGGGATGAGTGTTCAGACCCCTGGGCCCTCACTTGTGGGGTGCCTCAGGGTTCCGTCCTCTCCCCATGCTTTTTAACATCTATATGAAGTCGCTGGGAGAGATCATCAGGGGATTTGGACTGGGTGTCCATCAATATGCAGATGATACCCAGCTCTACCTCTCTTTCAAATCAGAACCAGTGAAGGCGGTGAAGGTCCTGTGTGAGTGCCTGGAGGCGGTTGGAGGATGGATGGCAGCTAATGGATTGAAGTTGAATCCTGACAAGACAGAAGTATTGTTTTTGGGGGACAGGGGGCGGGCTGGTGTGGAGGACTCCCTGGTCCTGAATAGGGTAACTGTGCCCCTGAAGGGCCAGGTGTGCAGCCTGGGAGTCATTTTCGACTCACAGCTGTCCATGGAGGCGCAGGTCAATTCTGTATCCAGGGCAGCTGTCTACCAACTCCACCTGGTACGCAGGCTGAGACCCTACCTGCCCACGGACTGTCTCGCCAGAGTGGTGCAT